AGAATTCTGGATTAAAAGATCGTCATATTGCGTCATCCACGTGACTTCATTATGACTGGTCAATCGCTCCGTTGACAGCGTATGAATATACATTATACAACTAGTGATGGTAAGTAATCCAAGTGACTTCAAATGATTCGAATGACTGATCATCATTAAATGACAAATAACTTGGTCATTTAAAAATTATATCACGTGATCTTAATAATTTTGGCCAAAAAAATTAATGTAATTTAATATTTCAAACATTTTTATAAATATTTCATATGATATAAATTTAAAATTCTGGTCAGTATCTAAAAATTTGATCTGTATACATTTAAATGACTAAATGACAAATGATCTCAGAATGATCATTTTGAAATGGTTAAATAATATGATCATTTGCAATCACTATCGCATAGCATTATACTGCACATTATGTCAAGTGATTAATTTCACATAATCACCTTATCTCAATATTTAAGTTCAAATAAAAACTGGGTATAAATTTGTTCCCATTCTTTCATAAGATTGTCTAGTTATGTAATACTTAACTGGCTCTTTAAAATATCACGATGTAATAACTCTTCACAATCATCCTTTTACAATCTATTAGAAATTTTTGATATTTCCTAGGATCTTCCTTTCTCTCTATTGAGTTGAATAAAAATATCTATAGATATTGAGAATAGAAAAAATCTTCTCAAGGAGAAAAAATAAGACCTGCTATGAAACTTTTACGATTACAATTTCTGCCACAACCTGAATCTGTTAGGAATGAATTTTGATAATCAAAATAACACCTTTAATATGTTCTTACCACACTCTTACTCTTGTGAAATATCTTACTAATATCTTAAAGTACTGTTTATCAACAAAATACTAAGGCATCTGTATACTTGTTATCATAATATTTCTATGCGTCACAATAAAATTACATATCAGTTTTCAGAATACATGAAAAGATTTGCCATCCTATCTTTTTTTCAATCTCAGTAACGATCAAAAATTTCTCAAGATCAAATCATGTTTAATGGCATATTGATAAAGATATTCATTTTATTTAGATTAGTTTTAAGAAATAGTTGAAGAGATATTACTAGTAAATTCTTTAAACTGATTTCTTTAGAATTACCTAAAGAAGAAATCTGAAAATTTATAATAGAAGGCATCATTAAATATAGAGTAAAGATCATATAAATTTTTATAAAAAGTCCTATTTAATCAAAAGTAAATTAATATCTATGCAATTATCATTCTATATAACCTTTTTTATGAAGGTGAGTATTCAACTTTTTGTTGAATATAATATTCTAGATTGTTTATAACTTTTGACTTTTAGAGTATTAGTTAAATACCAGCTTTCAAAATAGGTCTATCAAGTCGTTCAATATATTTTAGATCTAGAAAAATTTATTACTGTATAAAAAGCAGGATTGCACATATACTTTGTTGGATAATGAGTTGAATATTCTCTGAAGCATCTGATTAAAGAGTGGCAGAAAAAGCGTGAATATTGCAATAATAATTAAAGGTTAGTTCTATGTAAAAAGTATGCACTGAGTAAGACTTCTTGTTATTATACCCTTGATATTTTCAAGGAGGGTTGGATGCTTTCTAACTCGATAAGGAGAAGAAGCATAATGGCTTTACTTATTATGTATAATTCTTTCATGTATACACCTACTTATCGACATGCATGAAAAATGCATTTATATCATCATCAACAATGTTAAATATTATTTCTATGATTTAATTTTTTTATCATCTTTATCAACTGTATAAGAATTCACCATCAGAAATCAGTAAATATTATTTGGAACAGGAGCCAAGAAATTGCAGAGTCCAAACTCTCAGTGAACTATTAGTTAAGGTGAATCAAAGTTAAGACTATTTTTTTTATAAATATTGCAATATTCACTTATTATTTTAATTTTCTCCAACTTTCAGACAAATGTTAAGATGGCTATTATTGATGAAATTGGTGGTTCAAGAAGCCAAAGGTATTTCTTTAAAGACCACATGAGTTTTTCCTGATCATATCTAACTTTCAATTTTGTTCATTTAATGCAAACCCATTTGTGTCAAAAAAGTCAGGAGAAAGAAGTGATCAGAATGATCTAAATATGGTTGACATTGTAGATTAGCATAAATGGTTAGAGAAAATTCTGGAGGTTGGTAAAATATCTAATCATGAGAGTAACTGCCAAATGGTGACTATGTGTATGGCCCAAAGAAGTTTCTTAATTTTCCCTTACTAGGGAAAATTAAGAAATTTCTTTGGGTCATACACACTTTATTTTTTAAAGTTCTTAATAGAGAAAACCAAAATGCAAACTTTAAGTCAATATATGGCAAAAAATAAATTCGAAGATACTATGATTAGATACATCAGTAAAGTGCTGATGGATTTGTAGGTTGTCTTTATAGCATTTACAATATCATTTTAATCAATGTATGATAATAACATCAATTAATTTCTAGCATCAACAAAATGATTGATGTTCCCGAACACGTTATGTCTATCGATGAAGTTGAATGAGACTGGATAGTCAACAAAATATCTCTACTATTTATCTACCTACAAGCAACTTTTGTAAATAAAATACAATTCCACTGGTAAGAGCTATTTTCCCAGAAATTTTCACATTATTTTTTGATTGACCATTATTTGTACCAAATTCGTTCATATCTTTTTTTTTTACCATTATGTCATAGGTGATCGTCTTACGCTCAGAACTATCTTTTGAGAGGAAAGGAGGACTACGCTGATGAGGAAGAATTTTCTGCGGTCTTCCGCTTAGCTGGGAATTCCGATTTCAATTTCTTGAGGTTTTTAATCTAATGGAGTATGTAATACGATCGATTTTAGAGTTCCCTAATGTCATCAAAGGATTAACGAAACATCCGGCAACATCGTCTGAATATTCCATTCGGCACCGTATTCGTTGCTGACAAAATATAACCTATACAACATCCACAGCATAATGATAAATCATTAATCTAGATAATTCATTTTTCATAAAAATAAAATATATATATTTATATGCGTTTATTTTAATTGTATGTATAATGCAATAAGTCCCACAAATGTTTATACACACATATTAAAAAATAAAGCCGAATTGTGAATGAAGCTTTGTTAATATCCCGCCTATACTTACCATGTACAAACCGCGGTTTGATAATGTGAATTAGTTATTTTATAAATAAATTTCAGCAACGGAGCGTAGTTGTATAATCAAAAATCGTTTATCTTTAACGGGCACCATATCGTAACACGAGTTAAAAAATAAAACCCTATTGGGAATACGCTTATATAATGTAAATGGTAATTTGGTTTCGGTGGATGATGAAACTATTTCAATCGTTATTTTAATACGCCTTCATCACGTGAATTTCTTTTAAAAATTTTTAATTAATTAGTGGCAAGCGACGGGACTTTAGTAGTTAGCTGCTACTGCGCTATATGGAAATGAAGAAATATGATAGTGATAGAAGTAATAGATAGTTGTAATAAGTAAATAATAAATTTTAGATAGGAATCTATACTATATAATAAAAAAATTCCTGAGCGACGGACGCGTTAATATATTATGTTAAAAACCTCGGAAGGAATTTACCACATCGCACACATTGGTGTCATTATCATAATGACAATAAATTCGCTTTCACGAAAATTTTCAAAGATAATTTTTATTTTATTTTAAAATTTTAAAATTCTTTTACTAATCGAAAACATTTAGGGACGGATATAACTATGATCATCGAGATTCTGTATATATTAAATTTATAATTTTTTATATGTAGATTAGTTTGTTTATTATTTAATTTGAAACGTGTTCGTAAATCTGATTCGCAGAAATAAGGTCAGGTGCTTACTTTGGCCAATAATCATTAACTCAAAGATCCGATCAATCAGAATTGAGGACCTTTGCAATGAAATAATTTTGACCTAAAAATCATATTTGGCATATAAAAGTAAAATTGATTTTTTCCGGCTGTTTCCCCTCTTTCTATTGCAAAGGTCCCATATTGTTTGAAAGATGACATGTGATAGTATTTCAAGTACGAGATTTTAGACGAAGCGTTTCCGAAGGTAAGTTACCTACTAGGAGCTCTTTTTTGTACGAGCTTGTAAGCCGTTAAGCGCGAAGGCAGTCTAGCCAATAAGTTACTACCATAACCCATCGTGTAAGGCTACATAGTCGCATCGGCCTTTCTCAGCTTACAATTTACAATGTACTCGGAAGGTTCTCGACTCACACAAACATTTACTATATTTATATGTAACGGTTAGATAAAAGAAATTGAAAAATCTAACATCAACTGGTTGTTGCATATTCTTAACCCAGTACCTCTCGAATTTTACCGATATTTGAATCGTAAGACGAAACATATCGCTACCAATGCCTTTACTCATGCGCTTTCAATGTCTTAAAGATGTCAGGTGTTATTAGCGAAGAGAAGATGGGAATGCTTAGAAAAATTCAGCAAATATGGAAGGTGAGTCTTATTTAATGTAGGATGATGTTTTCAAAGTGACTGGAATAATTATTTTGCGGAAAGATCAGCACATCTGTCCATCAAAGCGAGTTACAGCGTTCATTAATGTTTTGTCATTGATTGATCAGAAACGAGAGCACGATAACCATCAGCGGTGCGCACTGATGGGTACCAACCTCAAGATAAAAAGGATCACATCAAACTAGGGATGGGGACGGTTCAAAAAGAGCGACTCCGAGCCGGTTCTGGAACCGATTATAATACCATTTTTAACCAATTTTAAAAATTGGACCAGAACCGACTCCGGACCGGTTCCAAGAATCGGTTCAAAATCGGATTGTCATCAAATTAAAGGTAATAATAGGACGAATTTGTTTGATAACCAGTCAAAAAAAATTTTTTAAATTGATCATCACATGATTCTCTATTAGTATAAATTTAACTTAACGCCAAAGTTTTAATTTACTTAAGAGTCGAAGTAGAACCGAAATTGGAACTGATAGAATCGTCCCCATCCCTACACCAAACACGCTATAACTAGTGGTACAACCAAGAAGGTTAGTATGAATCAACTCACAAATAATAAATAGTTTGTAAAATTCTCAAAAAATTTTTTTACTATTGCATGTGTATTTAGCGAAAGGATAGACCAGAAGTGCAAGACGAGTATGAAACGGATAGTGACGAAGAAGAACATCTTCAGAAGATTATATTGCCGATTGGGGTGAAGTTGAAGACCATGAGAATCAAAATGATGGTGGAAACGATGATATTGATAAAGACACCCGTGCTAAAGTTGATAAAGAGGCATTTCGTCAATCATTCGAAAAAATACCAGAAACAGAAAAATTAAAATTAAGTTCTGGTAGAGTAGTTGAGGATATACTTTTCAATTACGTAAAAGACAATGATTACGAAGAGTAAGTATTCAAAAAACTCATTTGCTTTTTCTATAATTCTAATACTAATACTGTATTTCTTATATATTTTTAGTCATGCGCATTCTTTTATCATAAATTATGATGATCAAGGTATTAGAGAGTTGTTCCAATGACGAAGAATGGAAAGAACTGACTGAGGATCGGTTAGGCATTCCTGATGTTCCTTTTAAAATCGACCACTTTTGATTTGAGTATATAGTATTTAATTACGGTACATATTATATAAAAGGTAAGGTACGATAAATTATTTATTGGTACGATCAATTAATTATATATGGATACATACCATACCAATATAACGAATAATTAACAGCGATCATTAACTCTATATTTTTGGGTACGTTTTTATACAAGTTAGTTAAATATATTTGCTTAAATTTGCTTAGATTTTATTATTATTTTTTTTTTTTTTAGCGCGTCTAATTCATTTTCTAGATAGTAATATTTGTTGTTTTAATAAAATATTTCTAATAAGAATATCGATATGTATTAGATAATACAATTAATTATAATTTCAAGCATTATTGAATAATAAATATAAGATATTTACAAATTAAAAAAAGAGTAAATTTATTCATCGCAGACGCGATATCATCGCCTCCTTTTTGTCTCCCGTGTCACACCCCCTCCCTTTTTCATTTTTCATATATTCTGGGGACAGAAATTTTTTCATGTGTGAAACCTATTTGTCACATATGTTAGTGCCACATGGTTTAAATTTAGGTTAGGGTTAGGGTTATGGTAAGGTATATAAAGGCGATGTATAAGGAGTATCCCCCCCGCGATGAATAAATTTACTCTTAAAAAAAAAAATAAAAAAAAATTTTAAGTATAATATATGATCGTTAAAATTAAGTCTAGTGTGTATTGCAACTTTGAAAAATCTGGGACATAACGAAATTTATTGAACGTAACCTTTTCTTTATTTGTTAACAAGAAAAAACTTGTGAGATAATATAAATTTAAATTATATATACGGCATAACCTCATAAAAATCTACAAGAATTAAGAATTATTGAAAAAAATTTTATATAAATAAAGTTGCAGGTACGTTTTTTAAATAAACAGGATCGTACCATGCACACAATATCGATAGTATTTATATATACTTACAGAGATATAGATACGGTATGATTAGTAAAAATATTCGTACCTGCAAAAATTTTATAGTACCGAATCCAAATGACGAAATTGTAACGTAACCATTTAGGGGATTCCTCATACATACCATACATACATTCAAAAAAAAACCGTACAAAACATACATTTCTAAACGTACTGCAAATACCCTTATAGTAGAAGTCTTAGAGGTGACACCGATTGTGAGTTCTGATTTTTTGGTAAGTTTCATATATTTTTAATTAAATTATTTTTATAGATTATACTAAAATTATTATCTTGTAGAATTTTTTTTTTTTTTTTTTTAAAAGCGAAATAAAATTCTTTTTTTTACCTACCTACGCGATAATTTTTAATATTTTATCTCGTATTGGAGTATCCACTTACCCAGGTGTTTGGTCTCTTCTCCTGTAGTCATTAAAAACTTATTTTATGTTAGCGAAAACAAATCACGAGTTGGAACGAGTCTAAGCGTTTTATTGGATTTTTTCTTTACTTATTTTTCTTTTATTTTAAATTACGTATTTTTTTTATTTTCGCGTCAAAACACCATCCTATATATAATTCCAATCTATCCAAACAACTCATAAATTGGGTAATCAAGTAGGTTAATCGGTATAGTAAAATTTAATACGTCCGTTACATCAAAAAAAAAAAAAAAAGGTAATATTTTTTATTTTTTATATGTCCGTTGCATCAAAAAAAAAGTATATATAATGAAAAGCATCTTTAACATCATCAGTCAATCCAAATTATTTTCTAAACCAAAATATATTATACATTATAAATTTATATATAAATCAATATCATTTTTATAAAGCAAATACATTTTATTAACATTAGAAAGTCCAGAAATTTTAGTGTAAAATTGACATTATTTTTAATACTTTGTAAAGTTTTTTTGATCACCTTTAATATCAAAGAGCTGAAAAAATATAAAAATCCATCAAAAATAACTATAAATATTGCATCTTTATTCTTTTCAAATAAAGCTATGGAATATAATATTATTTCACATAATCCGTTGCAGTTACCTGATAATTGGATTAAAGAAGCTATTTCTAAAGATCATATTAAATATTATGAATACAACTATTTTAGCAATTTTCGAGAGGTTGGAAGAGGAGGATTCAGAATAGTTTATCATGCCAATTGGAAAAAATTAAACAAATATTTTGCACTGAAATCTTTTAACTCCAATATGGTCACAATTGAAGAAATCATTCACGAGGTAAATATGACCCAAAATTTTACCCTCACGTGATCATAATAATAATTTATTTGACACAATGTTTTTATATACTTGTCATCAATTATTCATTATATGGATAATTTTGTAATTTCATATAGATTAAACTTCAACGAAAAGTTAATTTTTATGATAATATTATTCGCTTTTATGGCATATCTTCCGATCTAGGTATACTAATAATTACTATTGAAACTTTAAAATTAAAGTAAAATGTTGTAACTAAAGGTTTTATTTTTTTAATTAGAAAATCAAAATGATCGTCCAAAGTATTTGTTAGTAATGGAATATGCTGATAGAGGTACTCTTCGAAAGCATTTGAAGAAAATCTTTAATGAACTTACCTGGAACGATAAATACGATTTGGCATTTCAATTGCCTAGTGCTGTATTATGCTTACATGATGAAGGAATTGTGCATCGCGATTTGGTAAATAATTTTATGTTGCTTTTTATTAAAATATTATTTAAAATATTAACAATTTTTATATAAATAAATAGCATTCCAACAATATATTTGTTTACTGAAATTGTATAAAACTGGGGAATTTTGGATTATCAAAAGGAATTGAAAAAGAAACTAAATTAAAAAAAGATTTTGGTATGATTCCCTATATTGATCCAAAAAAGTTTAACTCATTTTAATCATATAAACTAAATGAAAAAAGTGATGTCTACAGTGTTGGTATGCTTTTATGGGAGATATCAAGTGGATATACTTCTTTTTACATTGAAAAATATGATTTAGACCTAATGAATAGTATTTCGAAAGGTCTTAGAGAAAAAATTATTCCTGATACTCTTAAAGCTTATGTAAAAGTTTATACTGGTAAATATAGTTATTAAATTCAATTATAATTATAACAACATTTTTGACCATTCAGTTTACTTTTTAAAGTGTTGCAATTATGAACCAGAAAATAGTCCAAATATGAATAAAGTAACTAAAGTCGTTGGTAAATTAAAAGCTATTATTACAAAAAGTAATCTTGCGAAAAATGAACAAACTGATGATTATGATTTAAATACCTAATTATCGGAACAACAACTTGATAATAAAGATTCTTCATCACATATTTTACATAGTAAATTATCTCAACTTATACAAAACTTTAATAAGATGAAATTTTGTTAAAAAATTCCCAGAGCCTGATTTTTCCTAGCAATCTTCTCATATATAATCTAAATAGTTTGTCTTATTTTTATAGAAAATATAGTAATGTTTAAAAATTAGCAAAACTTTTGTTCTACTTACGTAATATACACTGTTGCACTTTGAAATATTACTTTAATATATGTTTATGATAAACCTTCTTTTAATGTTCTTTAGATAGATAAATAGATTACAAAGTACACATTTTGCAATGTAGTATCATTCAAAAATGCATTGATGATGAAATGTATTATTAAAAACAATCATATGTTTGTAAGGGTTTTTTAACTGTACCATTTGACATTAAAAAAATACTGCAAATTATCATTTTTTTAACCTCCAGACCTTAACCTATGTTATTTTTTATTTTTATTATAACATCATAATATTAATAAGTTAATAAATGAAAGGATATTTTGTTTTTTAATGTAAATATATGCGAGTTTTGAATCTTGCAACGGAATTATTTTCATGATTTATCTTGTTTCTCATAAATAAGACTTATGTAATCCAGGAAAAAAAGGATGAGCTAGTTCAAATAATTTGTATCCAGTGTAATTTGCATTATGGAAATTGAAGGTTACCTGGTTTATGATTTTAATGAGAACCTGATTTATTGTCGAAATATAGTAGCCGCTTTGTATTAGAACAATATAATATCATTAGTTATAGTAGGGAAATATAGCAATCAGTTAGTATAATATAGTTTTTTTTTGTATATGTACAGTAGCGCTCAAAAGTATTGCATCACCTGAATATAAAATTTTTTCTTGTTATTAAGAAGGCGCAGTGCAGTGTATAAAATTTAGACCAAAAGTCATGTGCACAAGTTGTACTAAAAATAGAAAATTAATGCATGTATTATATAG